GCCGGAGCGGAGCCGGAGCGGAGCGGGACCGGGGGGACGGGTTGGAGCCGAGCCGCGCAGCGATGGAGCCGGGCGCCGGAGGAGCCTCGCTGCGCAACCCCGCGCCCTGGCGCCAGGCGAGTGGCCGCGGCGGCCGTTGGGGCGGCCGTTGGGGCGGGGGCCGCGCTCGGGGTGTGTGTGGGGGGGCAGTTTTCCCCCTCGGCCCCTTCCCTGCGCCGGTGTCTTCTTCCCGCCCGGCTGCTCCCAGCGCCGGCAGCGCTGCCGCCCTGTCCTCGGCGCTCGGGCCGGCGCGCCGCGTGCGGGCCCCGTGTCGGGGCCTGCCCTGTAGCGGGGCCTTCGTGCAACTCGGAGCCCCGCGGTTGAGATTTCTGGGGAAGACGGGTGGGCTGGAGCCGCTTGATCCGCATCTGCYGTTTGCTGGCATCTTGAAGCCAAGGGCAGCGGTTAGTCCCCTGTTTCTTGTGGCCATCTATCAAGAATTCCTGGAAACTGCTTAAATTAACTCATGTTGCTGTTGTTAAAAGTGGTTTCTGAGAGTGCTTACTTGTAGATTCCCTTGTGACCTCAGTCCTGCAGGGCTTCATGCAACAGCAGTCGTTGCCATATCGCAGCCTTTGACTGGCTCCTGTGCCAGCAGSGTGGATCTCTAAATTGGAAGCTGTGATGAAACCTGTCCCCTAAGCAGGACCTTTAATTAGTGTGGAGAGGATGCAGGAGGGCCARGGTGCCCCTCAGCCCTTGGAAGTGGCCCTGGTTGCTCAACACCGGCAGTGGCAGAGTGTAACCTGAGAGGAAGCAGAGCCCTGTGCTCACAGCAAGGGAGGCTCTTCTGCAGCGGCTGGTGTGGGATGCTGTAGGCCTGTGCTCTACCTGTGTGTTAGAGCAGCAGGTGCCCCCGGGGTGGCAGCATTTGGTGGGAGGGACTCACGGGCTTGGCAGGGCTTGCACGGCGACAGGCACGCTCGCAAGTGCCAACCTTGCGGTTGTCACTGGATGTTACGGTCTGGATTTTTTGTGTGAGCTTCCCAAGGAGACTTCCAGGGTTTATCCTAAACCAGGTTGCAGTGGGATGTCACAGAAGGCTTGAAAACTGCTCAGCAATGTCACTGAGTGAAGGCAGCTGCTCCCACCTGTGCAGTATCCTTCTGTYTGAGCCCTGTTCTGGCTGCTGCTTCCCCTGTGAGTGCAGGTGGATTTGCTGGCTCTGGCTTTTGCAGCCCTGTGCAGCTTGCCCAGGTTGCAGCGTTCCCCCATAGGGATCTTTATTTAACCTGGCGGTTGCAGGCAAGGGGAATGCTTGAGCTGATTGGCTCTGTGTTGCCGTATCTGGAGTGCAACACCTTTTATCTTGGAAGACCACAGACGTGGAAATTTACTTTTTCATGTAATAAGAGATTTGGATTACATAAGGATAATGTTGTAAGAGCTCTTGAGATGTTTGGTTGGAAGAATTTCTCCAAAGCTGCACCCCAGGAGGTAGATACACATGTATTAACGTTATGATATTTCATGGTTTGATAAAGGGAATTGGAGTAATTTACTGTATTCTTTTCCGTGTGACTCTGTTTCAGCTGACCCAGCTCAGGCAGTAGCTACTACAGTGASATTAGGATATTCCTTTAGGTCTCTCCGTGTCCAGGAGAGACTGCCCTGACCTGCAGAGCTCAGGGTGCGTCAGTGGTGTTCGGGGGTGATGTGSGGGTGGGAAGGATTCCTTTCCTTCCCCTGAAAAAGCTGCACAGCTGTTGAAAAGGAATCACTTACAGGCTAGCCAGTACTTCCTGCCTTACTTACTTCTTTTGCACTCATAGATTTGGCAGAAAAGAGGAGGATGTAGAGAACCACTATCCATATAAACAGCCTTGGAGTCTGTGGAGCTTTTTTCTTTGACAAGAAAATTCATARCTTTCATCCTTTCTTTCCCCATCAAGCAATGTCTTTATATGGAATTTGTTGCTATCCATGAAAAACTAAGAATATCAACATTTTAGTACCTTCAAATACACATAGAAAAACACCCTTCTTATGTCTGCTGCATTGAGATAGAGATGGGTAGGTAAAAACAGAGAATGCTCCGGAGGAAAAATCTGTGGAAAAAAAAAAGGAGATGAGGTGGCAGTTTGGGTTTTGTCTTGTAAATAAAAGAAGAGATGGTAGAAAAGGTGTTGGAGTTGGCCTATGGGAATGTATCCGAAATTCCTTATTTCTGAACTGTAATGTAAATACTGTTGCAGAAATTGCATCAAACAAATGAGATTCTGACTTCTTTTTTTTATCTCTTTCCTAGATCCAGTAATACGCTTTTTCTCCTCCTAGAAATTGCTAAATTTTCTCTTTATTTGAACACCCTTTTGGTAAGTACAGCAGACCTGTCCTTACAACGACTATTTCTTTCTGTCTTAATCAGGATTCTGTAAACTGAAGCTGTAACTGAAGTTATAAAGGTAATGATATTTGCAAGGTGGTGAGCCTACCTGCAGCTTTATTTTTCCTTGATACTCTCTGGTGGGAGGACGAACTATTTTTTCCGACTTCCCCTTCCAGCCCCACAAGAAGCACTCATCATACTTGCATTTTAAAAAAGATTTCTTAAAAAAATCATGGTGCATCTGTTCAGTTTTTTATCCCTATTTATCCTATCACTATTGCAGATGGATTTGTGGAAGCAGTTTTTGGTCAGTCATGTGCTTGTTTCAGCCTATTTTGGCAGGACTTTCCATCTCTCAGTTCATCCTCTCTGCATGGAAGTTGTATCCAGTAAAGTCCCTGCCAAAGGAAAACTTTTTATGGGAGAGCAAAAAGATCAAGCCTAAGAACAAAATTTGATGCTGAGATAGGTTTACTTGCTCAAGTGTATCTGCTGTAGTTTCATTTCTTYGCAAATTTTTTACTTTGACCTTATTGAAGCTGAGATTAAGCATAATATTAAATGGCTTATAGAGCAAGTAATGCTTGGGTACCCTTACTGAAAGGACATCTGCTAACAGCCTGCTAACTGAAAAGCTTCCTGTCATGTTGCTTGCCCATGCTTGGCTTTTTTTTTTTTTTTTCCTTTTTTTTTTGGCAGATATACTGTTTTTGATGAATAATTGCATTTTCAGTGTAAATGTAGTTGCCATTACATCTTTGCAGATGTGCTTCTTTAAAAGCAGGCAGTGGATGAAAATTAACCAGACACTGTTGCAGCCATAACATACATTTTTTTCAGGATCAAACAGGATAAAAAGAAAGCCTTTGTTTCTTATGAAACAACTTTATTTGCCTATAAAACAATAAAATGCTTGCTTGGTGTATAGCTTGATGATGATTGTAGTCTGCTTCCAATATAGATGGAAATTTTTCACTCCTCATCATTCCCCCAGGCATTTCGTATTTGCAAGTGTAGGCGGGTAGTAGGGAGTCTGATTTGATTTCCTCTTTGATTGCGGCTATGTGTGTAATCTTATTGCCTTTTTTTTTTTTTTTTTAATTTCATGAGCAAGTGGTAGGATTTCAGTCTGGTTTACTAATAATGTTGGAAAAAAATATTTTGTGACTCTGGAAAAGTAAGCCTGATCTGGTATAATGATTACGAAAAGTTTTCAATAGGCCTTTATAAAGGTGACTGGTGACTTCCAGTTTGAAATGTCAAAAGGTTGTGGGGGGTTTGTTTGTTTTTCGTACTGTAGTTTTTAGCATGAGTACATTTCAGGGCAGATGCTCAATACCTACTGTCAGGCTTCTTTAAAGACTCTCAAATTATCTAAATTCACAAGCTACAGTTGTTAATGATATTTTTTTTAAGAAGACCCATCTTTGAAAGTGTTACCCAAAATCTGTGCACGTGTTTCCACTAAGCTTCCGCAAAACTGTGCTGGATACAGAGACAGCGGTTACCTTGAAAAGGAAGGGTTTACTTGACCCTTCCTCCAAAGAGGACAGTGTGGAAGCTGAAAAGCCATCTGTTTTCTGGAGTTGCTCATGTGGTTGGACAGCTGCTTTTCAAAAGCAGAACAAGTGTGGAAGAGATTTTTAATTGCTTTAAAAAAAATCATATAAACTGTTGAACAGTGGCTTTTCCTCTAGCTTGCAGCTGTCATCAACAACTTGGCCTATGTAAAATGTGGCAGCTTTGCTCAGCTGGCAGGATGGTAGGAATGAGTGCACACTCCATGTCTTGGTACAGATGCCCTCTGAGGAGAGGTGCAGCTACTAAATTGCACCCGTTGGCGATGCTCCTTTTCCATACAGACTGTGAAACTCTGTTCAGGGGGACACAAGCTGAAAGGTTGTGGAGAACAAGCAGCACCATGGAGTRCTCCTTGTTTGAACTGAACACAGTGAATTTAGCAGCTTTTTCATTTTTGAATTGAGCAGCCTCAACCGTCTGTGAAATAACCTGAGGTTTCATTATGGTGAGAACTTCTTAAAACACAGATGTAGAAGAAGAAGGTGTCAAATAGTTCCTGCCTGCTATGTGGGCCACACAAGTGTACTAGAGTGGCACGGTTGTAATCTGACTGTAGTCAGGCCGGTGTCCCTCAGCCACAATGTACTGACTGTAGAACTCCTTGTTTTGCAGTTGCGGGAGGCGTCGCCGTGGGCAGGCATGGGCTGCCGGGATGTTCACGCGGCGACGGTGCTGGCCTTCCTCAGCGGAACAGCCTCGGTGGCCGGGCTCCTCGCGGCCGTCCTSCTCCCCAACTGGCGGCAAATGCGCCTGTACACGTTCAACAAGAACGAGAGGAACGTGACRGTTTACACCGGCCTCTGGATCAAGTGCGCTCGCTTCGACGGCAGCAGGGACTGCGTCATCTACGACCCGCAGTGGTACACGGCGGTCGACCAGCTGGACCTGCGCGTGCTGCAGTTCGCGCTGCCGCTCAGCATGGCCACCGCCGTCTCCGCGCTCTTCCTCTGCCTCATCGGCATGTGCAACACGGCGTTCGTGTCGAGCGTGCCCAACGTCAAACTGGCCAGATGCCTCGTGAACAGCGCGGGCTGCCACCTCGTGGCTGGCCTCCTGTTCCTGCTCGCGTGCGCCATTTGTCTCACGCCGTCCGTCTGGGTCATCTTTTATAACAGCTACCTGAACAGGAAGTATGAGCCTGTCTTTAGCTTTGACGTCTCTGTGTTCATTGCCATTGCCAGCGCGGGCGGCCTGTTTTTCACTTCCGTTATGCTCTTTCTGTGGTATTGTGCGTGTAAGAGCTCCCCGTCCGCCTTCTGGCAGCCGCTCTACCCGCACGCCCCCAGCATGCACAGCTACGCCGCCCAGCCCTACTCCGCGCGCTCCCGCCTCTCCGCCATAGAGATCGACATTCCCGTCGTGACACACGCCTCTTAAGAAGGGCTTGTGCTCCTCAAATGGTGAAAATCGCAGCCTTGGTTCTCTCTACTGCTTTGCACTCTGTTGCCCTTCTCTAAGGGCCAATCCCTGAAGGTWCAAAGCAGTGGAGAACCGAGTTGGAGCTCTTTGCTTTTTTCATACGTTGCTTCCCGAGCAACATATTGTTTCCTTGAACTCACTACAGRCAAAGCTGCAGCTAGTGCTGTGACAGTGCACTAGCTATAGTCTCCTTTCATGCAAGCTGTTTTGCATGTCTGTTTTTCTGTTTGTTGAGGTCCAAGTGGATTTGAACCTCTTTACTACTTTGATAAGCTGTTGCTGGAGCCCAGTCGCATTATGGGAAGTGCAAACATAAACCCTTGGACCTGTGGGTTACCCGAATCCTGTGGAGCTGGGTGTAGGGGCTTACTAAGTTTCTTGTTACAGATGAGAAAATAAACTAGTCTAGTGTGAAGGGTGTGATCCTTTAGCTAGAGCAGAAAGGAGAGTAGGAAATGGTTTACAAAGTCTTTATTGAGACGTGCATTTTAAAATGTGATGTTTATAAAGGGTATTTGGCTGATTAATTCTTTTCTGTAGCAGTGTTCCTTGTTTTGCACTGTACACATAAAAAGCCACCTGGCTGACAAAATTTTGCAGTAGAATGTGTCAAATTACCCTTTAATTTCAAAGTAGCAATCAAACTTAGAAATGAAATGGATTTAACTAATCAGCTCTTCTATACCGTAATTAGCTTTTTCTGAATCATTGGAGGCTGGAAACTTCTTCCATGATTTTTTTTTCTAGGTGTATTTTTCTAATAAGTTGCCAAGTACAATAGATATATTTTGTGATTAAAAAAAGAAAGAAGATTACATGTATTTAAAATTCTTGTTTAAAAGCTTGACTAYTTTATTTGAAGGCCATCTTCAAGTACAGCATTTCTAATTTTTAAAAATTAAAAATCTTTTAAAGCTCTGGAGAGAGATTCCCCAGAGGTTCTGGAGAGAGATGCATTCAGACTGCAAAATGGATGAGGAAAACCGTGAAGATTTCTCAAGACTGTGAAACAATGTTTTGCAAGCATGCTTCTCCAGGAGGGAGATTATAACCCTGGGGAGAGATTTTTATATCTGGATGTTTTATGTATCTACTACTAGCAGTGAACCTATGTAGCTTTCCACAGTTGATGCTTGTAGTAAGTTTTATAGGCAGCGGGTTGTTGGACTTTTGCTGTAGCTTAAATTATTGGTGAAAACTTCCCTTTTCCAGCCTTGTTCATCTTTCAAACTGAGCTATTTTAATCCTCTCCCCCCCCCCCTTTTTTTTTCCTCCCTATGCTGCCACCTCACAAGTGGAAAAATATTTATCGTTCTTATTTTCTATAACGTGAGGTTCTTGATCATTTGTGAGCTCCACAGTATGGCCTTACAAAGGTGAGAAAAGGTTATTTATTCCCAACCTAGGATGTCTTAAAAGCACTTTTTTTCTCCTAAAATGCAGAGTAGGTCGCTGCTAAGAGGTCAAGGTCAAACAATACTGCCACTGAAGCTACTAGGAAATCCGGAAAATTATGACAGGAAGCTGAAGACTTATAATTTAGGCTAATATTTGACTTGCTCAGCTTTTGGCATACTGAGATCTTGTRATTAAGATGTCATTCTAGCAAGGAAGGTTATTTAGATGGCTGTTATTTTGGATTTTGGTGGATATTTAGATCCAAGTAATCCTAGAGCAAATCTGCTTCACTAAAAATCATGGTAGTTTAATTCCCACTCCACAAACTCTTTCCAAGCTCTGCAAATCCATTCATTTCCTCTCCCTGCATGCAGGGAAAATGTCATTCTGGTGCAATCTGCCTGATAGTAGTAGCAGGCATCACCTTGTCTGAACTGGCAGCGTCAGATCCCAGTGGGCCAGGCGGGGAAGTCCATGGCTCTCTGCAGTTCCCAGCATGGTCAGGAGAGAGACCAGCCTGCCTTGTAATCAGCTAGCTCCTGATCCCTGTGCAACTATAACATGTATAAAACTGTGCAAGGCCACTTTTTTCCTCTTCCAAATTGAGTTTTGCTTTACAGTTGCTGCCTAACCATAAGTGCTGTTAGCTCTTGCTGTCCATGCCCCGCATGCTCTGTAAGGTCAAAGCAAAGGCATCCTTGGTTCATAATTGCACATCACCATCCTTCCAGTCTGTCTCCTCTTCTGTGTGCCTTAATTCAGCTAGAGTTGGCCAGTGAATGTTGTTCTGTAGGCGCTGCCACGTGTGCGTTTGGAACCTGACTGTAATGTTTCCCTCACTTGGGAGGGATGATGCATACACGCAATGTATACATGACCTTTAAAAGGACTTGAATCTTCAACATCTTCAGCAGCCTGGAAACCCAATTTGGAGTATTTTCTATGGAGRGTAAACACAGCCAGTATTTTGTTTGGAGTACTTTAAATAGCAGATCTGTCTGTTAGCTGTTCTGCTTTCTGACTTTGATTTTTACACACTAGGTTTTCAATTAGTATATGCTGCTGCTTCAGCTGATAACGCGTTGCTTTGAAAACGGTGTTTCTTCAAAAGTCTGAGGTGGGCCTGAGCTGTGCAGAACAGCGATCCACCAACTTGGGGATGCCCAGGCGGAGAGACGGGAGATTCCAGTGGTGGTTTCGGCTCAGGTTGCACCACGCTCAGATGCAGCCGCGCAGCCGGCTTCCTCCTGAGAGCTGCAGCCGAGCGAAGCTGCGCGGGGCYGCGCTGGGCTGGGTCACCCCTCGTTTACAGGCAGGGCGGCCGAGCTGTGACACTGAGCTCTGGGCCACCCCACGCTTCCCTGCTAAGGTCCCTCCGGTGCTGCAGGAGCAGCAGCCCTTGCTGCACGTGGCAGAAGGGAGTTTGCGCCCTGCCCGTGTCYGCAGCAGGGAGCAGCTGCTGCTCTGGGCATTCGCTGCATGCAGGACAGCTGCTCTGCTCTGCAGCCCGGCAGGGTTTTAACCCGCGGCTCAAATATTGGGTGCTCTGGGATTATGGAAGTCTGCATATTTTTCAAGTAATTTCTGATGGGCTTTTTCTGGTTGTATTTAATGTGCATTCTTTTTATGTCAAATGGAAAATATGTATTTTTAATAAATCCTGTTCTCATACAGCTGTAGTTTGTTTCAGCTCATTTTGTAGAAAACAGTAATGATGAGARTATGAAAGAGTTGACCTGTTTTGGTGAAACTTCACCTGCTTGGCATTTATCACTAGAGTTGTCAGAACATCTCAAATGCCTTAACAGGCTCAAACATATGTTATATTGCATTTTAACTCCATAATTTTACAGTGTTACTGCTTAAAAAAAAAAAAAAAACTACTTTTTGACAACTTGACTCTTACTTGTCTTTTCCCTTCACTATAAACTAGTCTTAAAAACTAGWTTTTTTTTTTTCCTCAGAAAGGAGATGAATCATTTCCCTTAATCTAGATGACCACTCCTATGAATGGGACCTGAAGGCCGGCAGAAGCCTGATCTGGTTCAACCCTGCACCGTGGTGGAAAAGAAGAGTGGATCAACTTTCTGCTAGGCCAGTAACGTGGTTGGATGTGTATGAGGGTTTCCCAGGAAAGGGAGGGGCGACACTGGACCGGAACCGGGATCCTCCTTCCTCTGCTTTGYGATACTGCCCCTTGGAGAATATGCYGCAACCTTCACGTGAAGGTTGTCCAGGTGCCCCAGGGAGACATTAACAGTCTGGACCTGCAGTTGGGATGTTGGGTTGTGCTGCTCCTGACATGTACAATTCACTAAATTGTCACCTAAACTGGAAATAAACCCCTTGGCACCCGTGCAGTGTCAGGAATCGGGCGTTTTCTTTATTGCAGTGCAGGATGCTGGGCAGGTAGTTCCACCTCTCATGCATCCCGTATGTTGCATTARCCACAGCTTATATCCCCCTGCTACATACACAGGCATTGAATTTCCCGGGATGAKCATTCATAGTCATGTTATTTCCTGGAACTAATTACAGTATGTCCCACCCTCGCGCGCATGCACCCTCTGTCCCTTCTGGGATCCTGGTGGTCCTTGGAGACCCTGGTGTCGTCTTCAGGTGTCCTTTCCATGACCCCCTCTGGATGAGGTCTCCATCTGGTGCAGGGCTCTCCGTTCCAAGGCACTAAGCAGCATCAGGGGTTCCTTGCAGTCACGGTGTTCCTTATCCTCGTTTCAAGGGGTGCTTGCTGTTTTGTCTGTTCTCCTTCAGGACATGCCAGTAACAGCTGCAAAAATTATGTCCTTGGGTGCATTTTTGTCTGAGGCCACTTGGACAGTTCCCGGCGTTGAGAGTTCTGCAGGAAGATGTCTTTGGGAGTCTCACCTAGGCTGCATAATTCTGGTGGTATCTTTGATTCCCACAAGCGGGAACAGCACTCCTCAATATGACAGAAGACATGGGATTATTACACAAGTAATGATTATGAGAATTAAAATGGTTGAGGGAGATGTCTAAAAATCCCTAAAATCTTTACCCTAAAAGCTTATTTAACACAGTTGTCTACTTTATCTATTCTAAAATCTTGGGCCTATTGGGCCACCTTTTGAATCTACTTTATCTGCTTGTTAAGATCCTTAGTGAACTTGACCTCAGAAACCCACAGGCTCCACATCCTTGAGGCAGCAGGAGATCCRAGGTGAGGCGCTGTTGGAGAGCCATGGACTGCACTGCCCTCACAACCAGCTCCGACTCTCTTGCCCGTGGACACTCATTTTTCCAGTGTCCCTTTTCCTTGCAGGCTGCGCATTGATCCGGYGCCAGGTGGGGTCTTGTAAAAGGGGGGCCCCTTCCCCATCCTCTGCCGCTCCCCATTCCTGGAGGGCCTCTGTGAGCCGCCCTGGCCTCTKCCCCTGCTCCTCCCAGGTGTTCTGTCACATCTGCAATTAGCCTCTTTTTCCACCTCATTTCCCTCTGCTGCTCCCGATTATTGTACAYCTCCCAGGCTACTTCCAGTAGTTTTCCCAAGTCTCGTGATTCTGCCCCTTCTAATATTTGCAGCCTTTTTCTTATATCCGGGGCCGACTGCCCTATGAAAGCAGAGGCTAGCTGAGCTGCCTCCTCTGCTTTCTCGGGATCCAAATCAGTGTATTTTCGAGCGGTCGCTTTTAATCGCTCCATGAAGGTGCTTGGGGACTCGCTCGGCTCCTGTTTTACCTCATACAGTTTTGCCCAGTTTACTGCTTTTGGCACAGCATGCCTAATCCCGAATAATATCCATCTCTGGTACCTGGTCAAAAGTGCTCGGGGTCCCGCTTGATTAGGATCCCACCCAGGATCCGCGGTGGGAAAATTCTGCTCTACTGTCCCCTGCAAATTCCCATTTGCATGTGCCCCTTCTAYCTCCTTCCGAGCAGTATTTAAGACCATTTTCTTTTCACTATTATCTAGCAACACGTCTAATATTACCTGTAAATCATTCCAGTCGGGATCTTGGATCCTGATTATAGTTTCAAACACCTTAGCCACCCTTTCTGGGTCTTCCCTATAAACTCCCGCTATTTGCTTCCAAGAYGTTAAATCTGTTACGGAAAATGGCACTTTCACTGAAACTTTTACTGAAACATCATTCCCCACTGCTTCTTGGAGAGGGGGTTGAAAAACTTCCCTCAGTTCYTCTTGCTGACCCCTAGCCTGTCCTGCAATCAGCCTGAAGCCCTCGTTCCCTTCGGAGTGACTCTGTTCCCTTCCATTCGAGTCTCCTTCCTGTGCTGCTTCTGTATTCCGAAGCCCGGCACCCAGATCCCGGTCGTTTCCTCCCATTCTTTGGCAGGGGGCAGTCGTTGCCTCCAGATCCTCCTCTCCTTTGGGCTTGTGTTTCGGGCAGCACTTGCCGATGCCACAGGCCAAACGGCATCTCCCGAGGTTCCTCCTCCCGCCCTCGTTTTCGATGGCGACCACCATGGGATCAGAGGGAAGCAACCCACATTCTTTTAGCCATTTGGGATGATTTCTCAAGGTAAAGAACAAATCTACATAGGGGACTTGATCCCACTTACCCTCCCGTCTACAAAATAACATTAACTGCAATATAGTGTTATATAGTATATAGTAACTGCAATATATCTTAAAGTCCCATTCTTGGGCCATTCCTCCTGGTCCTCCAAAGCGTACGTTGGCCACCAGTGATTGCAATATTCCACAAGCTGCTCTYGTGTAAGAGGATCTCCTGCTACTTTTCGCCAGTGCTTGAGAATGCATCCCAGAGGGGATCTCCTGAGGACCCCTCTTCGCGGGAATGAGTGTTACCCATGATGTTAACGCGTTGTGGCTCTAGCCCCCTGCTGATGATAACCCTTATCAGGTACAAAGCCCAGGCAAGACCGCCTGATGCCGCTCCGAGGATCGACGCAACAGTCAACCACTTATCGAATGCAAAATCCCGACGAAAACACCCGCTGCCGTTCCGAACTGTGACGCCCGTTATCCAACAGCAGTGGGAGGGCTGWATCCCACCCTTCGGTCGAACCTCTCCTTCCCTTAGGCACCTTTGTGGCCCAGCCCCGAAGCATTCACCGTGTCTGACGGGCAGGGAGCCTCCCTTTTTAGGGATCCTCTTTTTAAGAAAGGAACGTCTTTACCTTCCCCGGGGTCTTGCTCAGAGCTGTTCAGTCCAAGGATGGGAGGTTCTCCCTGAGGATCTCTTGGTGCCGGCTGGATGTCCYGTGATCCTGCAGATCCGTGGAGATTCAGATGCAGAGTCCCGTCCAGGTCCCCAAAACTCACCAAAATCGATCAGACATAAACCCCTTGGCACTCGTGCAGCGTTAGGAATCAGGCATTTTCTTCATGGCAGCGCTGGATGCTGGGCGGGTAGCTCCACCCCTCATGCATCCCGCATGCTGCCTTAGCCAGAGCTTATATCCCCCTGCTACATCCATAGGCATTGAATTTCCCGGGATGGTCATACATATTCATGCTCTTTCCTGGAACTAATTATAATATGTCCCACCCACACACGCATGCCCCCTCTGTCCCTTGGGGGTCCCAGGTACTGGTCTTCAGGTGCCCTTTCCATCACCCCCCGCAGCCTCTTTCCATGCAAGGTCTCATTTTGGCTCGGAGGAGYTCTGTTTGGCCACGTTGCCCAGTTTCAGATGGTTCCTTGAAGATACTGTGGTCCTTATCAGCTGGTGTTTGCTGTTTTGTCTGTGCTCCTTCGGGATGCGCCGGCAGCAGCYGCAAAAACGTCCTTGGGTGCATCCTGGTGTTAGGCCCCTTGTAACAGCATTATGGTGCCCGTGGAACCAAGCCTTTCTCCACACTTAGATTTAAACTTTCATTTTAAAACTTGATTTTAGTTCTGCAGAGCTGAGGTTTCAGCTGTGTACAGTGCACTCCCTGTCCCCCTGGCAGTCCTTTATCTACCTGCCAAAGCCCGCTCGCATCTGCAGTGTGAAGCAAGGGGCAATTGGCTGCTAACGAGAAATCCGAAGGACTCCAGGAGCCCTCCAGGCTCCTGCTGCGGCCACTCAGGAACACAGTGGGACTAGCGGGGCTTCCAGCGGGTTTTGGCAGCTGCTGCTGGGTGGCAGGGCCGGTACCTGYGGTGGGGCAGCGGCTCCGGTGCCTTTGCTTCCCTCGCTCCTTGATTCCTCGAGGGGCTACGAGATGCCCGGAGCCACCCATCTGATCGGAGCCTTTTCCCTGGGGCCTCGCTCGGGAGGGTGCCTGGAACCTGCCGTTTTCCCAGGCTCCCAGCACTAATCTGCTGAGAGCTCCTGTGAGAGTTACCCTGCAGACACCGGCCAGCATTTGCCTGGACGAGGTTTTACTGCTTATGAAAAGATTTGTACACAGTTGCTTTAAATCCCAAAAGAGCCCAGATATTTCTCACTATATCAACAAAACATAATTTGATGAGAAAAGCCTCTGAACTGATCATTCAGCTGATGTG